CTATAACCTTTATAAAAGTTCTCATTAGCATTGAAGAAAAACAAATGTAATTCAGTGTGATAAATATCTCTCTGCCCAAAAGACAAAGAGCCTATAATTGTCACTTTTACTTCCTAACAGCCTCTTTTCCCATCAAGACTGATTAAAGTTATGTAAGTGAGACGATTCCAGCAGCTGCTACAGAATGTGGGTTTGCAAGGACTGTCCCCTTCTCTTGCAGAGCACACTGGATTTCAGTGTGGTACTAGCAAAGGTGTCAGAGTCAAAGGTCATCATCTGACCTTGGAAATGGCTAGTGATGCTAAAGCACATCCATAACTACAAGGAAAGCTTAAGTTCAATGTTAAAAAAGAAAATTTAGGGGTAGAGATATAGCTCAATAGTACAGCACTTGCCTAGCATACGTGACCCCTTGGGTTCAATTTCCAGCACTGGAAAAAAAAACTGCATATATTTATAAAAATTAGTACAAAATCAATTTTTAAAACTTCCCTTATAAAATGGAAGAACTAGCATAGAAAAGATGTTGATGCACTCAGAAGAATGAAAGCACATTCACAGATCTCTTGCATCTAAAGATAGAGGGATTCCCAAAGTCTGCAATTTGAGCTGCACAGAGCCGGCTCGAATATCATTGACAAAACCAGAAATCAGTAGCTGAAGACAGATGGCAAATATTTGGTTATTTAGGCAATAATAAAAAGGACAGTCATTTTCTAAAAAAAAATTACACCCTGTACATAAAAAAATAATCACTGTAGCACAGAAATAATTATCTTGATTACTCTATCATGGAAAAGCAAAACAGAATTTTCCAAGGCTACATTAAGACACACTAAAATCTAACTCTATGATTCTACACGCCAAACTAGGAGATCCCAAGCAAAGGTATGCTGAAAAATCACAGGCTATGAAAACTAAGGTTGTTGACCATGACTCAGCAGCAGGGGCAGCTGGAGAATTAAATGGAAGGACAATATTAAAACCACCAGAATATTGTTTCTTGGAAATAATGAAAAAAATGAATGAAATGATAATACATCTGTTATAATACTACAAGTAAAATCATGAATTGATATATTAATACTCCAAGGAATACAGAATTCTAACATCCATGGCTCTACCACTTACTATTTTGCCTTCAAGCAAGCAACTCAAACCTCTCTGGACCTTGGTTCCCCATCTGGAAATGGGCATAATTAATAATATTTACTGCATAGGCATTAAGTATATCAATTAAATCATGTTATCCGTATAAAAATGCTTAGTGTCTTAGTAAATAATAAGCATAAGCAGTTATTTTATTATCACCATTATTATTACAGAAGTTTCATTCTCAGACCTACTAAAGCTGCCTGACTTTAAAAGTAAGGTATCATCCACATAAATAATAAACAATAATTTTCTCTCCTATAATTTATTATTGTTATATTTTCCCATTTATATTGCTGAATCTAGTTGAGGTTAGGTAAGCTTTAGAGCCAATTAGTATCCATGACTTTATTTGTTCCTTACATCAACATTGACAGGGGAGAGCTTATCCCCATTGGACTGAGTGTATGGAGTAAGTAAAGTGTCCAAAGCCATGAAGCTAGTAACCGGTAGCAACAGGATTCAGGGCCACACTGTCCAATCCCTACTTGAAGACTTTTCCCATCATTACAGTCTTTTCCAAAATATCAACTTCATAATATTTCATTCCAAGCAATAAATGTGACCCTAAGTAGATCAGCAGGAAGACCATGAATGGGAAGTCTACTGTGGCACAGATCCACTGTCATATAGACACATACGCAGGAAGATGGACATGGGCTTGACTGTGTTTGCAGTGATGACCTCATCAAACATTAGTATCATCATTTCCCACTAGGGCAAAGGTGTCCCCCAAAGGGATTTCAGTGTGTGTGGTCAAGTGACATGGAAGGTCCCTGAGAGATTTCCCACCCCAAAATGTCAGAAAGCAACTCCCACCCCACACCATCCCCTTGCCTTCCCAGTCCCCTGCATTTATGACCTAGGGATGAACTGCTCATCTTTCTCTCTCTGGCCAGAGCAAGTCTTATTTTATCCTCCCCTGTTGCTTTGACTTGGCCTAAGCTGTCCTCCACAGGTAATAAACGCCTTTCCTCCCAACACCAAATGGGAAAATCTGACTTTTAAAAAAAAATCCTGATTAAAAGGCATTTGATCCATGAAAAGCACCTCAAGCACACCACCCCAACATCCAAAATCATCTTTGCAGCCCAAATCTTCTATTTGTTTATTTAATCAGCTTTCCCTGGCACATTTCTCGAACTTTCTCTCTCCTCTCAGTTATATCAGCAGCTCAATGCCCTGATTCAAGTCTTTGCAGTTATTCAGCCATACACAAGGTCTAGGGCTGGTGCTGGATGACCAAATGAATGACAGTGATCAATGTCCTGTCTTGTGTCTGGGGCTTCCTCTCTACTGTTCATGAGCAAATCACTATGGAGGATTGAGGTATTTATCCAGATAATTTTAAAAAATGAAATGAGAGGCTCAGGATGTGGCTCAGTGATGGAACATTATCTAGCATGGCTAGGCCCTGGGTTCAAACCCCAGTGCTACAAGAAATATGAAAAGTGGCTTGGACTCAAAAACCTTATCGGATAAGAAATTAAAACTATTGTCAAGTCTTTTCAGATAAATTTCTTAATTTTCTATTTCACCCTACATACATAGGAAAGGATTCCGAGAACAAAAGATCACAACTTAAATAAGTCCTTAAAAAAGAAAAAAATCTATATTCAGAGAAAAGTAAGAAGGATTCACCTGATAAAAATTCAGAAAGAAATAACAGGAACTTTAAAAAGAACTATCATCCCTGTTGGATCTTACTATAACAGGCCACCTGCTGCTTTTGATCAATCTGATATCTTTTGCTGTTATTATTTGTTGTCTGTCTGGAAAGGAAGGAGAAAGTGTGTGAGCTGGGATGGAGAAGACTTAAAGAAAGCACAGTAAACTACCACACGTTTCACAAACTGCATTGGCAAGAATGAAGGAAGGAAAGAAGAGAGGGAGGAACAGAGGGAGGAAAAAAACTGCTGACTACAAAACGAGAATGGAATTGTCACTTTGTGATATCGCTCCTGTCACCCTGAAGTTGTATCAGGGTATGAACAGTTAGCCTCATTCAATCCTGCTCGCTCCTGACCAGGTAGTTGATTGCTGCCTTGAACATATCACCACTGGGAACTCTGTGGCCAAACACCCCAGTTCCAGCTGAACACTATTCCATTATTCTACAATGAACTATCTTTCTAGCCTTTGTCTCTGCCAATAATTAAGACATGGCTTTGGACAACGTACACCCAAGAGGCTTCAATTCCTGTCTGGCTCAGCATAGGACCCATGCCCCAGTAGCCCTGGAGGTCAAAATAGCACCTTAGGAGGCAAGTGGGATCATCTAGACGGCTCTGCTCCTTAGTGTGGTTGGAATAGGGCATGAAGGATGGCTTCCCCATGTGCGTCCTGATACAGACTGATCATAAGAAAGATGCCTATGAATAAAGTCTCAGGGTCAAATAAATCTGGAAAGAGTCTGGTCTGAATCTTCCTCTGAGAGCTTCACAATGCCTACAGGCATAATAAGGGGGACAAAAAGACTTGCAGCAAAGAACTCTGTAATATGTCACTTAACCCAGCAAATCCCAAATTTATTTTACTCCAAAACTTCTTTCCAGTAACATCTTTTAACGTTGAAATTTAATTTGGGAAATGCTTGAAACTACACTTAACAGATAGTGGCTTAGAGTCTAAGTTGTAAGGCTTTGAGTGCAGAATCTGACCAAGAATTCTGGCAAAATTTTGTTGCTCAGCTGAAGAGTTAAACTAGAAACAGGTGGTTTCAACTTTTTGAAAACAAAACTGGAAAATCATCTGGAAATTTTACTTTATTATTATAGGAGAACTATATTTTTGAAACCAAGATAGAGAAAATGAGAATGAGATACATACTTTGTGATATTGCTTCATATTTACAACAGTAAATATGCTTCACACTTGCAATGATCCATAGCAATATATTCTATTTAAAATGATTTTCAATCAGGGACCTACAACCCAATTTTATGTCTTTATGTGGGAAAAATGAAGCAGAGAGCAAAGCAATTACCCAAATATTCCAAATCAACTTCTCTTTCTACAACGATAAAATTGTGCCTGTTCGTTTTCAAATAATTTAAGCTTACTATGTTTGGGAGCCCAAGTTATCTGGAAAGTTATCATTATTTCATACTGTTTAAATATACTTTATTAATATATTGAGCCTTTAGGAAGATACAGTCAAGGACTATCTTTAATATGACTAAGGAAATATCTAGAATATTATATAACATAGTACAATGAAAATTCCCCAATACCTGAGAATTAATGTTCCCATATTTGTAGTTCTAATATATTCTAGGAAAAGATTTGAATACTCAGTATCATGAGTACCTGTATCAGAGATTCCTAAAAACTCAATCCACCCAAAAATAAATCAAATAACATAAAATTTATAAATTTACTGTTTAACTTCAAGTATTTCCAGTAACTCAATTAAAATCTGTCCACATTTATGAAGGGAAAATCCCAATCGCATGGAACTAATCTGTATTTCAGATTACCAATTTTTTAACTTAACACTTACCAAATTTTTCAAAATACTTTTTAAGACCCAGGCCAACCCATAAAAAGATTTATTCAAATTAAAATTTGGGTGCTGTTGCCTATTTCATTTTTTTAAATTGAGGACCATAAACACATAAATATGTTAAATTCTCCCTTTTCCAGAATACAGCTGGTAAATATGTCACACAGTAATACAATAGGAATCACAGAAAACACATTCCAAAGGATTTCCTCTGGCTAAAATCTTGGAGGACAGGAAGCTGATAATGAACTTGTTAGATTGAACTTTTCTCTTGACTCATCCCATTTCAGTCTAGTGGTCAAAATGACCATGTTTTCAAGTTGCCCTCACGGCAGTGCCTTACCAGTGTAGATGCTGGCATTGGAAGCTGGGATACCAAACTGTGACTCGATGAACTTGGGAATGAAGGTAATGAAAGCAGTTACAATGGCACTCTCAGCTGTGTATGACAAACTCACAAAAAGGAATGTCATGTTGCTTAAGATCCTGACAGCTGCTCTTGGTAGGTCTACAAAATGACAAAAATGACAAATGAATGTTATAAACAATGGATGGAAAACAAAATAAAACTGAATTGTTTTTGAAATGAACTGCAAGTAGCTGTTCAGCAATATTTGCCACACAAGAGAATAAAAACAGAAAGATCTGATGACGACTCGAAAACAACCCCTTGGTTCAATAGAGTTGGTTTTGGTTTGATGTTTTAATTATCAACCAGAATAAGGAAATAACACACCTACCACCATATTCATACACAGATATCCTTACAAGCAATACCCAACCTGTGACTCCTATTTCAAAATCTGTTTAAATTACTTGTGTTTTTTTATTGATTGAAGACAGTTATTTTCCATGAAGACCTCAGAGTCCATTAAATGTGGGAATTACCTGCAGATCAGTCCTAAATTAGGGTTACCAGTTCCCCCAACTATCATGCCCCTTACAACATGCATTTCTAAGTCGCCATATTGTTGACCTCACATTGAAGATGCCCACAGCTGAGGAACAGGAAGGTGATGTCAGGCACCTGGTTCTCCAGCCTCACTTAGGAAATAATCATAGCTAAAGAAGCTCAAAAGGACAAGGCCATCAGATCAGATACTTCCAGGTACTTTGCACTGGAAAACAAAGAACCATGATCTCCCCCAGGGGAAGGAGAGCCCAGAGATGGTGGCTTAGCACCTACTGGACCACCCCTCACGAAGGAGGAAAAAAAGCCTCATCCTTAAGTCTAGACATTTATTTCACAGAACTTGCTCCAGCTACATAAGCAAGTATTTTCATTGCAGCATTGTTTACAATAGAAAAAACTAAGGGGGTCAAAGGTGCATCAATGGGAAACGTTTAAGTAAATTAGTTATATAATGGAGTACTACAGAGTAGTTTAAAAGGACACAGAGCTGCATGTACTAGCACAAAAGAATTTCAAGAAATGTTGTTATTAATGATTAAAGCAAGCTGCAGAAAATGTACATACATATATAGTGTCACAAAAATCAAACAAATCAAACTAATGTATTTATATGTGGCCAAATATATACTTCTCCAATGCGTCAAAATGCATTCTCCTGTCACATATAACTAATTAGAATAAATTTTTTTAAATTAAATATATATATAAATATATATATAAATATATATATATATATATTTCTCAATATATATCATACAAAACTCTTAAGGGCTTAACTTGTATGAACAGGACTGAATTGGGAAAGATAAGAATGAAATGAAATTCTGTGTATATGTTTTGTATTTTTTGCATGTTTATAATGTGAATTAATGCACATTTAGGTAATTTTTACATTTCTTCATGGAAAAAATAAGTTGCACTATTTTTGACAAAGTCATCTCAGAGAATAGTTATCCCCTTATGCTCCAACACAATACAGTGATTTCATTAAAAATGGACAACTTTCATTGAAACTGTAATCCATAGCCTCTTTTTCATCAGAATCTAAAATTAAAAAGCCAAGACTATTTGCTATAATCGTTTACAAATTTAACATTCTAAATCTTAATTCAATTTTTAAAAGTTTAGCATTTTGAAAGAACAATGAAGCTGCATACTTTATTTTTTAACATGGACAAACACACCAGAGAATAAAGCCTTTCATATTACTAGCCAATACTTTCTTGCAAACACTAGATTAAAATATCATATCCAAAATTTTAAAATTAGAAAGTTTAGAAATTAGAAAAAAATTGAAAAATTACCTGTCTACATTTAAAGATTAACATTAAGTTTAGTTGATATATTTAAAGCCAATATGTTGAATCGAAAACATCTGGGAGAAATATAAAATAAAAAAATTTAATACAAAAAATATGTATCCCATACATATTCTAAAAGATACCAGTTATACTAAACTGGTTTTCCATTTAGACCCACCTGATACAATAAAAATGTAGTTTCAAACATAATTCAATAGAAATAGGCTTTGGTTCTCTTCTCTTTCATTAAAAAACAAGGTCTGCTTTTTATTTAAGTAGAATTTAGAAAAGTTCAGACTTCCAAAAACTCTACGTTAGCAGTGCTGGGGATTGAAGCCAGGGCCTGGTGCATGCTGGTGCTCTACTCAGCTACCTCCCCAGCCCAGATTCCTTCTTTCTTCCACCTTCCTCGACCAATTTATTGGGGCTGGAGCTTTCAGCCTGCATGCCCTGCAGGAATGGAGGGCGCAGGTCCAGGGTTGTACCTTCAAGTGGTGGCGCTGAGTGTTTTCTTACATACAGAGAGACTGAGCAAATAATTACAGAGTAATGAGAGTCTGCTTTCCAACTGCTAGAAGAAGGAGTTACAAATACTAAAGAGTAGACAGTTCAATATCAGTTTGGAGCTGGAGATATTGTTATGAAGCAATTAGGCAGATAAATAAATAAATAAGATGATTAGATAGATAAGACAGATTATATAGATAGGCTAGATAGATACATAGAATAAATTGATTGACAGGTGATAGATGATAGATATGTGTGCACTTCCCAACTCTGTGTGCTAACAGGTCTTAGAAGTAATCACACTCTGATAGAAATGAGTTCATCCTGTACTAATTTCTTGGTTTCTAACAATCATTTTCCACTAACAGGAACCAGAGAAATATCTAACTTCAGAATTGAAGCAGAGAACAAGCAAGCTGAGCTTGGGAAATCTTCAACAAGAAGTAAAGAAGCCAGGCACAGTGATTCACACCTGTAATCCCAGGGACTCTGGAGGCTGATGTGGAAGGATCATAAGTTCAAAGCCCAGTTTCAGCTACTGAGCAAGGCCCTAAGTGATTTAGCAAGACCTTGTCTCAAAATAAAAAAATAACAAGGGCTTGGGATGTGGCTCAGTGATTAAGCACCCCTGGGTTTAATCCCCAGTGGCAACCTGGGAGAATCTGAACTCAGTAGATGATAAAAGCAATCAGTGAAAATCTAATAGGAACAAGATACAGTCAATCCTCATTATTTGTAGATTTCATATTTGCAAATTCACCCACTATTAAAATTTCATTGTAGCCCCAAAATTAATACTTAAAAGCACTTTTACAGTCATGCTCAGGGTGGCAAAAACTTGAGTTGTCCGACCTATCCGTTGGGCTGGGCTGAAACATACTTTTCCACCTTATTGTTTTAGCTTTCATCTAGTAAGTGAGGATCCTTTTCACAGTACAGCATCCCATCTTTCTTTTGCTTTCTGTTGGTGACTTGCTTTTTAAATGTTACCAAGGGTAGTGCTGCCATGCTGTCTCACGTTCCTAAGCACAGTGTCTGCAAGGAGGAGAAACTGCATTTGTTAGAGAGACTTCCTTTAGGCAAGAGTTACAGTGCTGTCAGTGGTGAGCTCAATGCTAATGAACTGACATATATATATATATATGTAGTGACAGGAACCCACTCGTGTCTCCCTGGGAATGATGTTTCAGTATTCACTAATTGGGGTTCATTGTTAACTTGGTAGAACAAAATTGTTGCAAATAATCAACTCACTTTATAAAGCTTCAAAATAGTTCCTAACAAAGTATTCATAGATTATTTTTTGACTAATAATTACCTGGTACTTATTAACTTAAGCAGGGAGAAAACAAGCAAATGCAATTCTATCCGGTGATCAAAGTTAACCTGATTATGGGGTGAATTAATACCTTCTGCCTCTGTTACGATGCATTAAGAATGGCATCATTTGGGTGGTAGGCCTATAAAACTACAAAAATCAAGAAAGGACATCAAACCTAAACTTCATTCTATGAAGTTAATGGTTTTTACATTTTAAAAAGATCAAGGTTATGCAAGACAAGGAAAGATGAGAAACTGATATAGACCAAAGGAGAATAAAAGACACAAAAACTAGAAGCCAGGTGCACCAGCACACACCTGTAATCCCAACTACTCAGGAAGCTGAGGCAAGAGATTCACAAGTTCAAGGCCAGGCTTGAACTCAGCAAGACCCTGTCTCAATTTT